GGCAGTAGTGGTGCAAGCCTTTAATCCCAGCACTTGGGAGACAGAGGCAGGTGGATCTCAGTGAGTTTGAGGCCAGCCTGGTCTACAAAGCAAGTTCTAGGACAGCCAGAACTGCTACACAAATAAACCCTGTCTTGAAAAAAAAGTGCTGGTCATGCCGTCCTTCCTTCCTTTTTTTTTTTTTTTTTTGGCGGGGGGTTGGGGGGAGAGAGGGTCTCTTTATGTACTCCTGGATGTCCTGGAACTCCATATGTAGACCATGCTGGCCTCAAGCCCACAGATACCCTCCTGTCTCTGCCACCAGAATGCTGGTATTAAAGGCATACACCACTATGCCCGGCACAGCATACCTGCCTTTGTAACAGCACCCATCAACCCCACTTACTTAGCAGTCAATCTCCTCTCCTGATCATAAACTCTTAGAAGGCAGGTGCCACATCTTAGCCATCTACATATCCCTAATACCAAATGCAGGATTTAGCAAAGAGTTGATGCTCGAGAAAAAATGTAGAACTACTTTAAATCTGATTGGGTTCCCTCCTATGTTTCAAAGTGGGCAATTTCTCTAAAGCCTCAACAACCAGGGCTGCAATTCGGGCCAATGCTCCCCAATCTGAATGGCAGGTACACATAGTTTCAGTAGGTACACCTTACCTTCAATACAGAGGTTTGCTACACTCCCGTCTTCCACATTGCTTAACAGTCCTTGGAGCCGAGCGAAGCAAGAAAAAGGTTGATTAACAGCGCTGTTTCAGGATAAACAGTTCTACAAAGGCAAGCATCATTCTAAAGCCAGCAGTTTTAAGTAATGCCCTTGCTAAATCCTACCCTCCGCGACACCTAGGCTTCTTAACGTCCAGTCTAACTTTTAAAAGATGATGATAGTCCATGTGCACAGCAAATAGACTGTATGCTCTGCAGTCTGACACATCTAAGGGCAAAAAAAATAAATGTTGCCTGTTATTTTCTTCAAAGATCATCCTATGTCAGCCGGGAAAAGCCTCAACATAGGGAAGTATTCAGTGCATGTTAACCCTCCTCCCTACAAGGACTCATTCCAATGGACACCGTAATCATATCAAAGAAGGAACCACCTCACTTTCCATGTAAAGAAATCAAGGCATATGAAAAGGAAAACAACTTGATTGGGATCACATCCAAGGTCAGTCGACTCCATTCCAGGCCTCTGATCCTGAGAGGAACCTCAACTGTACAAGAGGAATCACCCACTTCCCATGTTTATCTCTGCATTTTCACTAGCCTCTTAGAGCTAATAAGGGCAGTTACCATGAAATGATTCACGTAGCTTAGAAAGGGGGTCACATTGCTAAGACTACAACCAAGCAACTTGCTAGGAAACTGTCACATTAACACAAAACATCTAAGGCATCATTCCAAGTCCTCCAAGGGAAAAACATACGCTACACATGCCAAGTTCACGCCAGCTTTCCCTTTGAAGCTCACCAAAAAGCACGCGTACGAAATGGATGCAGACTCTCTGGTCCTGAGCTACCAGCTGTGTGACCAAGGAGGTGTGTCTCACGAGAGCATCTTGGAAGCAGAACACCACGTGTTTCTTGCGCACCAACTTTGAATGAATGAAGAGAAATATTCAATAGTGACCAAGGCAGGGTCATTCTGAATTCAAACAATAATTTCCAAATATAACCACAGCCATTTAAACTATGGGGAGAGCCATACTCCCTGTAGGGAGCATGGACAGGTACATTTACACTAGGAAATTCATACATTTACATAGAAGTATATAGAAACTGATGTTTCTACCTTATGTTTACATAACACTTTGTTTACAATCACTCTTCTCCACCGATACACTTGGAGGACAGAGATTCTTTTTTGTCTCCTGTAGCCCAGGCTGGCCTCAAACTCACTATGTAGCTGGGGTTGGCTTTGAACTGATCCTCCTGCCTCTGTCTCCCAAGCGTCGTAATTACAATGTGCCACTAATAACACATTTCAGCCTAACAAGTTAGTAAAGCAAGCAAAAAAGCTATCCCTGTTTTGTAGATGAGAAAAACAGGCGCCGAGACGTGCCCAAGGACTCGCATCCAAGTCTTTAAGCAGGCATTGACTAACTTCCTAAAGACGGAGATCGGCAAACACGGGGCTGGTGGGGAGGGGCTCTGGGGGTCCTCTAGACTCGGTGCACCCAGGGACCGGCTCACTAGAGACACTTCAGCAGGGCCAGCTGAAGAAAGGTCGGCCTGGGCTGAGGGGGCGGGAAGGCGGGCTGCAGGGGAGAGACTAAGGGTGGGGGCAGCAATGGCCGCTGCAGCCCAGAGAGGGGCAAGCCTTGGGGAAGGGTGTCGGCTTGGGGTTTTGTTTCAGGAAAGGTGTGCCTGGTTCAGAGAAGCCAGGTGAGGGAGGAGAGGGAAATGGTCGCGCCAGGTCCTGGGGGGAGGGTTTAGGTCGCACCGACACGCCGGGCTCCGGCAGCAGCTCCAGGGCGCAGGCCAGGCAGACGTGAGGGGACACGGGCAGCAGCCAGCGCGGATCATGCCGGCGATGGGTCCTCTCGAGGAGCAGCACCGCTTCTTCATCCCTCCCAAACGCTGCGAGATAGTCAGCAGCCGTCCTCTGGCCCACAGCCATCTCCAGGCTCCAGCTCTGCAGCGCAAGTTTTCCCGCCCAGCTTTTGCGCAAGCGCACTCAGAAGAGCGCGCCGCACACTGTACGTGCGTGCACGTGTCTCCTGTGCCCCGACGCCGCCAGTGCAGGCGAGCAGCGGCTGCAAGGGTGGTTTATGCCGGCAAGGACTGTGGGTTTGTACAACTAAACCCAAAAGGACTGTGCATGGGCCTGGGCAGGAATTGGTGCTCCGTACATCGAAAGTTGAGAAGTATTTATAAAGTAGCTGTCCTACTTTAAAGGAAGGAAAGAAAATCAATTTCTGCTATTATTTGCTTGGGTTTGTAAGTTTTTAGAGTCAACGTTATGTAGGAGTGTTTGTCTGCGTGTATGTATGTGCACTATGTGAGAGCCCGGAGACTGCAGAGGTCAGAAGACACCATTTGGTGTCGGGAACCAAAACCAGGTCTTCTTCACAAGCAAGCGCTCTTAACCCCTGAGGTATCTCTCCAGCCTGTTTTTGGTTGGCTGTTTGTTTGTTTGGTTGGTTTTAGTTAGACTCTCATGCACTTCATACTGGTTTCAAACATGAAATGCAGCTGAGGATGACTTTAAATTCCTGATTCTCCTGAGACTGAGACAGGAGGATTGCTCCGTAATTTCTGCTGCACCTAAATTTTTTGGAAGTCAATAGTGCCAAAACACACTCAAAGAGAGGGGATTTCACAAAGCGTGAACACCCGAAGGGAGAGATCACTGGAAGTTTTACAGGCTTACCACAGTGTGCGTGTTATGGAAGAGGTAGAGAGATTGCTACAGGAACATCCTGCCGGCCGTGGTGGACAAAACAGAAAGAACACATTAAAATTTAACTGGGTGGCAGAATTATAGGAGCTTTTTGTTGTTTTTAGGAAATAAGCAGGTAGAGGAATCTATGTACTTGAGAATGATCTTGAATTCCTAATCCTGTGCCTTCACCTCCCAAATGCCAAAATTACATTTTCTAAGTGTTCTTCAATGAACATGTATGGCTTTTATGATGAATTAAGACATAGGTAGAAGAAAAAGTTCGTTTATACAAAAAGAAAAGTATGTAAAGGCTAAAGACAGTTCAGGGGCACAGCACTTGCTCAGCATGCACAAGGCATTGTAAGATTGGCTCTGAAGATTCCCACTTGGTTAAACTATTAACTCTGGAATGTCCCAGGGTGGGATAATACAACAAATAATTATGGTGGGCAATACTATAGAATTGGATGGTTTGTCTGTGAAGTTTGTTCATGGGCAGCAGAGCTCCAGGATTCAACCCTCCTGTCCCCCCACTTTTTAAAGACAGTGTCAACTTGTCAAACCCTAACTAAGCCACAAGTTTGGTCTTAATTAGGGTTTCTATTGCTGTGAAGAGACATCCATGATCATGGCAACTCTTATAAAGGAAAAATATTTAATTGGGGTAGCTTACAGTTTCAGAGAGTTAGTCCATTATCATTGTTGCAGGACATGGTGCCGTGCAGGCAGACATGGTGCTGGAGAAGGCCAAGTGTCCTACTACATCTTGGCTTTCAGGCAACAGGAAGTGGTCTGAAACACTGGGCATGGCTTGAGCATCTAGGAGACCTTAAAGCTCACCCCCACAGTGACACACTTCCTCCAACAAGGCCACATCTCCTAATAGCGCCACTCCGTGAGCTTATGAGGGTCCAATTACATTCAAACTAGCACAAGGCGCCTCTCCTGGCTCTATGTTTTTGTTTTTGTAATAACTTCCTGACTCCAGTTCCTATTGCCCATATACTCCTGGGTTTGGGGCCATCCATTAGAGTATGGTTGACCTATTAAGAGCTACCCCTTAAAGAAAACTGACTGTCCTCTTCCACAGAAGCCGTCAAGTACCCACAGCCCCTCGGGAGTGGATGGGCTCTCCAGTCCCTTCGCACTCTGTGCCGGGATGTTGACTGGCTTGATCTTGCACAGCTGCTGTGTGTTCCTGAGGGCAGCCGCCCTGTCAGATTCCGGAAGACACTGCTTCTCTCTGGTCCTCCTCTGTTTCTGCCTCTTACCGTCTTCCTGTCCCCTCTTTCTCAGTGGTTCTCAGCCTTGACCGGACCTTCTTTGTAATCAAAGGGGGTCTCATGCAGAGAACTACCCTACCCTCCGAACAACCGAGGCTGAGTACTCTGCTTCAGGCAGGATTGGCTTGGGAATGGGGCAAACAATGCTACGATAAATCCTCAGTGCAGGAGCTGGGAGCCTGGAGGAAGAGGGTTAAAGTTAGGGTTGCTAGTAGATGACCCTGGATTGACCTACATTCTGCTAATCTTAAAAGATGCACGGTAGAAGTGGCGTCTATGCCATCCACAAAGTATCCCAAATCCCCAAAGAAAACAGTCGGACAACACACCACAGGAATCTGCAGCCCTGCGGGGTCCAAATAATCAATTTTATTAGAGGCTCTGGGACTAACAGGTCACTCTCATGTTTTCTCTGACTTGTGCCCTAAGGACTCTGGGCCTGCGGCCTACTTTTTAAGGCCATACTGTCTGAGAAAGAATCTCAAGTGCCTCATAAAACCAAACTTCTGTGAGACTGCTGGATTTCGGGGTGCCCCATTTGGGTTCCCAGGCGCCTCGTGTTCCTTGTAGCTCTCCATCTTGGGGACAATTACTCCTGTACAGCCATGTCCTGGTGGCTCGAGGTCCTTCTCCAAGGCAGTGGGGACTCTGGTGTTGTCCTCCTTTGTAGATGGGGCACTCGCTTTGGGAAGTGGGGTAGGATTCCTCGGGGTAAGAAAAGGAGCTGAAAGCTGAGGCTTAGCCACCTGCGGTGACCATGGCATCTTGCTCAAGATTGTCATGCTCAGCCGGGCTGTGGCAGAGTGGACATTCCCTTTGAAGCCGGAGGCATGTGTAGAACAGCGGACAGGCGGCTGCCAGCCCCCTGTGTCCTCTGCAGGTCCCACGCTTCCGCTTCTCAAGTGTGCGGACTGCTGACATTTGAGTCTGGGGAGCTCAGAGGCTTCCCTTGGTACGCATTCCTTCTTCCAGTGGTTGTGGCCTTCTGTGCAGGATGGGGCCCTCACTCTGCTGGAAGCCTTCTCTTCCACATGGGAGACTCCAGGCCTGACCATTTTTCTGCCCCTGCTGCTCTCACTGGAAAGCTCTTGGACCTGTCCTGGGCCACACCAGCTCCTAGACTCTGCTGCTGGCCTGAGAATCCTCGGAGCAGGATTCTTGTCCTTCGGGGCCTCCTCTTGGATCTGTGGTTCTCTTGCACCCCCTGGTGGCCTAATTCTCCTGGGTTTCTTAGGCGGAACGGAGCTGCGCGTTGGCTCTGACTTGGGTGGCTTACCCTTCTCCAGAGCCTGGACTTGGGTAGAAAGTTTTGAGCTTTTCCTTTCAGGACCTGGACGGCTTTGAGACCTGCCTGGAGACTCGGGCCTTAGCAGGGATCCCTGGGGCTCACAGTGCTGTTCCTGTTGCCTTTGGCGGTCCTGGTCTGTGCGCGATCCAGGCAGCCTCACTCCAGCCCGGGGCAAAGCGCAAGACTCTAAAAAGTGAAAAAGCACGTAAGACTCCAGGATTCGTCGAGGGAGGCCCCACCTCAGGTGTGCAATCCTCCTCTTCATGAGGGACTCCAGGAGCAGATGTTTGCTTTTCTTGAGGGCTGGCCGTTTGGACAGAGCGGTGAGAACTACGGGTATGCTTGCCGGAGCCGCGGCAGCTTGGCAGACTTGGGGACACAGGAGAGAGGGAAAGACAGAGGATGGCTGAGACTGTGGGTGGAGGGGCTGGCATGTCAGGCTGGGAGCCCCTGCTGGTTCCACCCTTTTGTCCCTTTCTTGGCTTCTTTGGGCCCCAGGTTGAGCCCTCGGGGAGCTTCCACCGACCCCGCCTCTGTGCTTCCGGGCAGGGACCGGGCTCTGCCTGCTTAGACGTTCTTCAGGACAGGGAACAGAGTCTATATCATTTCCAGCAACTGGCTGCTGGTGTCTAGGGGTTCCGTGTCTAAAAAGGAGAGAAGCAGGCTGAGCCAAGCTGTGCTTCGTGCCTGTGGGCCCCTCTCTCACAGAAGAGTCACCTTGAAGACTGGACCTGACAACATCCTTTCTTCTGACCTGCTCCTTGTCTCCCCTCCTCCACGTATGAGACTGGTCAGACTCCTCAGCTCCGCATTTTCTCTGGGCCCCTACATCCTGGTTTTCGGCAGCAACAGCTCTACCCTTGCTCTGGATTCTTTGTCCCTGGGTCTGAATCTTTCCATCACTTTCGCCCACTGACTGTCTCCGGTCCTCTCCCAGTGAGGCTCGGCTCTCTGGGCCACCATCACCTGTGAAGTTTCGCAAGTTTCTCTTCCTTTGTTTTTGAACTCCTGCATCATTCCCCTTTCCGAATTTCTGCGGGGTCTTCCACTCTAACAAGTAGGTCTTTCCGTTAACTTTCCTTAGCACCCTCTGAGTCTTCCTCCTGGCTCTCTGGATCTTTCTACCATCCTCGCTTCCAGCCTTGCCCCAGGTTTTCTTCTCCAAGGCCCCATTTTCTGAAGCCTTCTCTCCTCTAGCCTGTCCCCAGCTCCTCCGCCTTGTAGACCGGCTTCCTCTGGTTCCCGTCAACTGTCCCTGGTTCTTGCTCTCGGGTCTCTGGGTCTTTACATCAACGTCACCTCCAGCTTCTCTCTGGTTTCTCTTCCCTGGTCCCAGCTTGTCCATGCCACTTTCCTTTTCAGTCTTTTCCTCATTCTTGCTCTCTCCTGCGTGAGTCTCCAGAGGAGTCTTACCTCTTAGTTGACCCTGAGGCTCAGCCTCGGGTGGCAGGTTATTTGTCCCATCATCTCCATCTTGTCTTCGGTCACTCTCCAGGGCCCGAATTCCTGCAGTGTGTTCCCCTCCAATCTGACCCTGATTTCCCCAACATGATATCCTGAGTCCTCTGTCGATTGCAATCAGCACCAGTCTCTGGTTTCCCCACCAGGGCGCCTGGATCACCACCCAGTCCTCTTCTCTTATCTCCTTGAGCTTCTTCATTCCCACCTGAACTTCACATCTCGACAGGTTCTGGTCCTCTTTCTTCAGTGCTTGGGTCTTCCTGGCGTTCTCGCTTCCGCTCCATCCTCGCCCCTCCCCTGCTGGAGTCTGGACCTCATTCTGAGTTCTAACCCATCCGTGTTTCTCCCACTCCAGGGCCCGGGTCTCTTCACTGTCCTGTTTGATTTCTCTCCGGTTCTCCCTCCCAGATGTCCGGATTTTCAGACCATCCTCACTTCCCATCTGGCCCTTGTTTCCTCCTTCCTCTGCCTCGGTTTCTGTACCGGTATTACCTCCGATCGGGTCGCGTGTCCCCGGATTTAGCATTTGGGAATCCTCACTGTTCTTCCTTCCAGTCCCGCTCCGTGTCTCCAGTCCTTGCTCCTGGACCTCTGCCTCCTCCTTCCCTCTAGCTTCCTTCTCATTCTTCTTCCCCCGAGCCAGAGCCTCCACAGCATCCTCCTGGCTCCCCCACTCTGGTGTCTGAGTTGCTGTGTCCGTTTTGCATCTGACCTCTTCTTGATTCTCTCCCATATGAGCCTGGGTGGAAGGATTCCTGTCTCCAGGCTCCCTCTGGGTTTTCTTCCATAGTTCTCTATCTTCAGTTCCCATTTGGTCTTGCTTCTCCCGCTCTGGCACTGAGATCTCTCCATCAGTTTCTCTTCTTACTGGTCTCGGGTTTCCGCACCCCAGGGCCTTAGCCTCTCCACCCTTCTCCATTCCAAAGTCCATAGGGAGGAGGGGGCCTCCAGATGCTTGTATTTCTGAAGCAACCTCCTTTCTGCTCTTTCTCTGGTCTGTGCATTGTCGAGTGTCTTCACTATATTCTCTGCCTACAGTCTGAGTTTCACCTTCTGGTTCTAAGGGATCTTGTGGGCTATCCAGGGACTTCTTGGTGGGTGATTCCAAGTGTTGCTTAAGAGGACCAGGCAGAAGCCGCCTGAGGCAGAACTTTGACCTCTGAACTAAAGGGAAGTTTGGGAGAGAGATGGCTAAGGCCGTGGAGCTGGGGTTGTAGTTCAGGCTCACAGGCTCCATGGACACCAGCTTCTCCAGGGAGGGAGCCAGCCGCTGCTCCTTTCTTCGGCACATGTCCAGGGAAGGGTGGGCCTGGCTACTGCTGGGACACCAGGGGACTTGCCATACCTCCCAAGAACTGTCCTGGGGGAGAAGACAAGTGCTTGAAAAGGAAGGGGTACAAATCATGGGCTCAGAAGAGCTGTGGACAACCCAAGGCAGGTCTTGGCCTGAGTTCTGTGGGGACAGCAGGTACTGGGTGGCCCATTGTTGTCTGAGGCTCTTCCTGTACCCCCATCTCTGCCTCTGTGTCCATTGTGGGACAGGAACATCCAGGTCTCTGATTTTTCCATGAGTAAAGAATTTGTGAATCATCCCAAAGAAAGTTTCACATCTGGTGGAGGACACTTCCCATCTCTGCGGCGGCACCTGGAAAGTAAGGACTGAGAAATAAAGCTCTGGCATACAAATGATCTCCTAGATCCCCTACAGAGCTGAATAAATGTCCCACTACCCGGATGAAGGTACTTGTGCTAAAAGGGGGGGGGGCACTTCCCCTAAGCAAACAGCATTCATTCACTCCGATATAGTGAGAGATGGCTCTGAGCCAGGCACCGTTCTGTGTGTTGGGTACCAAAGTGAACAAGACAAAGTCCCTGCTGGGAGCTATATTCTAGACATGGAGGAGACAATAACCAAATATATAACTATCGGGCTGGGGATGGGGCTCAACTCATAGAGTCTTTGCCTAGCCTGGAAAGAATCCACTCCAATAATTCGGCACTCGGAAAGTAGACAAGGGAGGATCAGAAGTTCAAGGTCATCCTTGGCTACATAGCAAGTTAGAGACCAGCCTAAGCTATATGAGATCCTATCTTTTTTTTTTTTTTTTTTTTTTTTTAGCTGAGAACTGAACCCAGGGCCTTGCGTTTGCTAGGCAAGCGCTCTACCATTGAACTAAATCCCCAACCCGGAGATCCTATATTAAAACAAAAATCCATGCTAGTACCCCCCAAAAAAGCATTTGAATGGAAATAAATGCGAAGTAGGGGCTGGAGTTAACACCACTAGACAGAATAATCAAGGAAGGCCTCTTGGAGGAGGTGATATTTGGCTAGAAAACCAGATGAAATTGGGGCAAATCAAATGACACTTGAGTGCTGTAGGCAGAGGAGACATTAAGTATAAAGACCCTAGGAACAGAGCAAGCAAGAGTATGTCCATAGAAACAGCCAAGAAGCTCAGTGAGAACGTAATGTTGTTCAACGGCATAGCATGGTGCCTAGTGTGGGAGGCCCTGGGTTCTACCCCAGCCTTGAAAACCAAGGAAGAAGAAGAGGGGAACAAGGAAGAGGTGGGGGAGCACCCATGGGATCAGAATGGAGCCAGCAACAAGGAGAACCCTGGAAGATGAGGTCAGAGGCAGGTGCAGGCTAGATCCTATCAGACTTGGGATTGAGGCAAGGGTTTGAGTTTTGCTCTGAGTTTTATAGGGAGTGGACTCACAGGGGGTTGTGGGGGGGGGAGAGCTTTGATCTGTTTTTAAAGTCTGTCTGGCTCACAAGCACAGTATTGGACGTAAGGTCAATGTTGAATACTTGTCATGTGATTTCGTATAGGTCTGCATTATCAGCAATCAGCCCCTTTGAGTGCACATTTTGGGGCTTCAGGTCTTTTTTTGCAGTGCTGGAATTTAAACCCAGGATCTTCTAGTACTTGGGTTTTGGTCTGGTTTTTTTGTTTGTTTGTTTGTTTGTTTGTTTTGTTTTTTGAGGGGTGGTCCTTTTGTTTGTTTGGTGAGAAGTGGAAGAAGGCAAAGCTTGAAACTGAGTCTAGTACGCCTCCTCCTGATCATCATCCTGAGTCCCGGGATTACAGGCATAAACCACCATACCTAGTTTTATTTATTTATTTATTTAGAGACAGGGCTGCTCTATGTAGCCCTGGCTGTCCTGGAACTTACTACATAGACCAGGCTGTCTTTGACTTCACAGAGATCCGCCTACCTCTGTCTCCTGAGTGCTGGGATTAAAGGGGTGCATCCCAGGCCCAGCTTCATGCCTGGTTTTCACGGCTAGTGTTTGAAGCCAAGGCCTTATACAACCTAAACCAACATTCTATCACTAAGCAACTCTCCTTGATGGTCTGTTTCTTTTATCTTTCATTTTATATCTTGCAAAACCGAGTTCTGTAGCCCCTGGCTGGATGGGAACTAGATATGTAGACCAGGATGGCTTCAAACGTGGGACAGCCCCTGCCTCTGCCTCCTGAATGTTGGGATTACAGGCTTGTATCACCCACCACACACACAAGCCTATGTGTATATGCCATAGCATAGGTGAGGAGGTCAGAGGTCAATTTGTGGGGATTGTTTTCCTCCTACCACCAATTGTGGGTTCTGGGGACCAAAGTCAGGTCATCAGGCTTGGCAACAATCATTCTGACCCAAAGAGCCATCTTGATCACCCCTACACATGGGTGTAACTACACATGGGTGTGTTTGGCTTGTAAAAGTTCGCTGATTTATACACTTGTAATTGTGTGTACATATTATAGCTTTTTTTAAAGGAAGAAGGAAGGCTACACCAGGCAGACACAGACAGCCATTACCATGGTCCAGAGCTGCAGGCTGGTGGCTCTGCCTGGGTGTCGTAGTGAGGTCTCTAGAAGTCATAGCTATGACTTATGGATTTCACGGAGGGTTCCTAAAATTTGCAAATGGATTGAGTGTATAGAGTGAAGAACAGAGATGAGTCCTGGCTTTAAGGCCTAGACGGTGATTATACAGACCAGCCGAAACTCTTTAGTTCACCTGTGATACACAAGACACCAAACAGGGTCCACGTAGAGAGTGACTAACAGTCACGATGCTAAGGAAGTGGCCTCTTTACCTTGATGGCATTCCTCTTGCTGGTCCTGGAGACCCGGTACCAATACTGTTGGATCTGCCAGATCAGAAAGAGGCAGAAGACGAGCAGGTTACCACAGCACCGGGGATCCCTGCAGCTTTGATCCTGGGACAGCAGGCCTCTTACTGGCTCCCACTCAGGGCCCTGGAATGGGCCCACCACGGCACAGGCTCCCAGAAGTGGTAGCAACATGGCAAAGCTTAGGTCCGGTAGATGGTGTTGGGAGGAGTGGGGAGGAAACGCTAGCGTGGCTGGCTCACTCAGTTTGGGGTGGGGTACCCCTTACTTCACAGTCCCTCTGTCACTGGGGCCACCTCACAAAGGAGCCTGCCTGCTGCAGCACTCACTTTCAGCGCTAGCTAGTAGTTCTGGACAGGACACCTCTCCTGGCCAGTCCAGACTAGGCTCAGACGAGCTCCAAGCTGGTGGGTTGTGCCCCCTTGTGGCCAAATGCCTAAACAGCAGGTTGGGCACAGATCAGACTTGCTCAGCTTTCCCAACCTTGGTTCCAGAGCCTTCACCACGGGCAGAGAGAGAAGACTCATCCTCAACTCCCGGCCATAAATCTGTGCCCAAGTAGTGACTGATAAGTAGGTTAGGGTGATCCCTTGGCCCCTAACCAATGGAATTGAAGACTAGGCAGAGGACTTTGAATTGGAGAGGGCTAGTGGTAGCCTAAACGCTTACCTCGTTGATGGGTAGTTGGGCACATTTGGACAGAAGGAATAGATCCTAACATTCTACAGCATGACAGGATGACTGTGATTGGCAACAACTCATTGGATTTTTTTTGTTTCTGCTTCTTGGTTTTGAGATAAGACCTTTCTATATAGCCCAAGCTGTCCTCAAATTCACATTGATCCTCCTGCCTCAGACTGAGTGCTGGGAATACAGGCATTCATTATCACATAGCTAATTAAACAAAAAAAAACTTTTTTTTTCTTTGAGATAGAGTATCACTATGTAGCCCTACCTGGTCTAGAACTCACTACACAAACCAGGCTGACCTTGAACTCATAGAGATTTGCCTGCCTCTGAGGTGTTGGAACTAAAGACGTGCACCACCACACCTAGCCTGTATAAGTTAGTAACAGGACCCCAGGAGCAAAACTACCTAGGCCAGCCTCCACCACATCACACGAGGTTCTTAACTGTATCTCCAAATCAATCACTGTCCTCCCCTCCCCTCCCCTCCCCTCCCCTCTTCTCCTCTCCCCTCCCCTCCTCTCCTCTCTTCTGCTGTCTCTGTTGTTCTGAGGGAGCTCAGTGTTAGCCATCCAGATTAAACCCACAAGGAGCAAGCTAGGTAACACAGCCTTCATCACTGGACACATTTAATAATGAATTAACAGATAAATGAATGACTACATACTAAAAAAATTCATTCATGCAAACACAGCTGCAATTAATATGTTGTTATTCTCAGAGAATGTTGACTGGGAATCTAGCAGAGCCTTTTTGAACTGATTCTCTCTCTCTCTCTCTCTCTCTCTCTCTCTCTCTCTCTCTCTCTCTCTCTCTCTCTCCCTCTCTCCCTCCCTCCCTCCCTCTTGGACTTTGCCTTCAAGCAAATCAATAAAGCACCCAAAGTGCCATTTCAGTGCCTCTCCTGTCTCCT